TGTGCACGCATGCATGCATACTTAAGCATTCGTGCTCATGCTTCTTTGGATGAAAACAGCATTATGGGCCTAATCCTCGCATGGACTTAAGGCTCCGGTGCAGGAGGAAATGAGAGACAGTGAGAGGGGGAAAAATGCCCTTAGACTGTCAGCAATCTTTCTCATCATTTCATGCATCTGAAACAAAACTAATTTACTGCTTGTCATGCTCGGCTTGGCACACACAAACACAAGAGCCAGTATGCACAGCGTGTCACCTGCCGCTGCATCAAAGACAGCCATTTATGTATCAGACTCACAGCTTCATGAGACCTGGGAGAAATGCTTAACATGGTCTTATCAAAAGAAGCAGTCTGGTAAGCCCACTGATATGTTGGTCCCTTTCCACGGCTCCCTGATCCCCATCTAAGACACCAGCATCCAATGTCTCCTCCTCGTCTTATATCCCGCTTCATAGGTCATTCCAATGTCACTACAGTGGGGATACCCCCCCACCCCCCTCTCCAACTCTACACACAAACACACACAGATAAAGTTATGTGCTTGGCAGCTTAGAGTGAAGCAGAAAGATACGGCACAAGAGAGCTGGAGGCAGAAACAGTCAGAGAGGGAGAGACGGATTGAGAGAAAAGATGAAAGGAAGCATGAGAGAGGGCCGGAGGGAGAAAATAAAATTGGTGCGACTGCAATATAGTGGCGTGTACATGTATTGGGCCCCCATTATAAAGGCACGTGACAGCTTAATAGGACTCTAGTTGCCAAGAGAAAAAAAGGACGTCCTGAAAACAGCGCTCCCATATTCTCTGCAGGAGTCACATATATGCTGAGTAAACTGTTCAGGGGAGAACAAAGCTCCTCATTAAATTGGACATAGTGACAGGTATCGATTTCTTCCAATACAATTTACAACGCCTATTGTTTGGAGATCCTCACCTCAGATCTCTGCTGTCATTTCTGCAGCAAACATCAATATGCAGCTCTGTGGTGCATTACCAAAGGGTTAATTACATACTTGTAAGCAATTACAATCCTAATGTGGCATAGAGTCCTCCCCCAAATTAGAATTTAGATCAAAACTATCAAGCTGTCAGAGAGCGATATCATCTCTCAACTGAAACACTTAAGAATTTCAATCTTAAATTTTCACGACTCGCCAAGTTAACAATCTTCTCGTCCATCCAAATGAGATGCAAAGATACAGGATGCATGTTGCAAGTGTATGTAATAGAAATAGATAGAAATAGAAACCAGAAACAGTAGTGGTAAAGAAAGTGGTAGCGCTCTCTGCACAATTACCTTAATATACCGTATACTGGCAGTTTGAAAAGGAAAACATTGTACACCTAATTCTATATTCGCCCTGCAGCCATTGTTGAAAAATCATGTGTCCACTGTGCAAAAATATGGGCGACAGATTATCTTGGGAAGAACAGTTGGTGACATGGAAATACAATTTGCAATCGTCTCTGTGTGTTTGGAGGCACAGGAGAGGAGGGAGACGAGGTGGAGGAGGAGGAAGAGGAGGAGGAGGAGGGGATCTAATTGGACACTAGCCTGCGTCTGGTAGTCCTGTCACAGCCCTGAGGGGTTTAAGTGTGTGTGTGTGTGTTAGTGAGAGAGAGAGAGAGAGAGAGAGAGAGAGAGAGAGAGAGAGAGAGAGAGAGAGAGAGAGAGAGAGAGAGTGAGTGAAAGAGAGAGAGAGAGAGAGAAAGAGTGAGTGAAAGAGAGAGAGAGAGAGAGAGAGAGAGAGAGAGAGAAAGAGTGAAAGAGAGAGAGACATCAAGCGAGAAAGCGAGCAGCAGAAAGAGCATGAGAACAAACAGAGAGCTCCATTCAGGTCGGACCCACAGACACATCTTTCAGTCTGACATGCCGATACATCTCTGTGACCAGAGGATTCGTATTGGGCACAGCCAAGCCAGCCAGTCACAGATGCATCCATTACACACGCACACAGACACACAAACACACTTCTGCTGAGTCTTGCCGACACTGCTACTAGGCATTTATATCACTATGGAAAATCTGTCCGAGGTGCCGGTGCCCCATTCATTCTCATTCACAGTTTCCCCCCTTGATGTGGATATATTGCAAAGAGTTTCAATGGAGCTTATTCTTGCAAGTGCACCGCCCCTAAAATGTAATGAATGTCTTTACTACCAAGGTTAGAGTCAGAGTTTATCCATTAGCAAGCCATAATATTGACAGGGCTGCGCTCCGCAGGTCCAAACTGCAGCCTTGTAGCCGTAACATTGGCCGACAGACAAGGGGGGTAGTATGTCAATGTGAGGTGCTTACAGGCCGATAAAGGCTGCTGTTCCAATTCCTATAGGCAGGCTTTGATGGACAGCACACAGGGAGAAATGGAGAGAGGGAGGGAGAACCCTGAGGGAAGAGGAGAGACGGAGGAGTGCCAAGTGCTCTTAGAGCCTTTAAGAGTTTACAACTGAACTGGAATTTGGCGAAAGGACAAGGAAGCAGGACACAGATGAGATAGGATTATCAGACTGCCTGTTTTCTCCTGAGACCTTGGGAGAAGCAGACCACACACACTTATACCCACCACATGAGCGTCCTCTAAGGGGACAAGTAGGCAAGTTTCAACATTCAGGATAAGCTGAGGGACAAATCCATTGAAACGCATATACACACACACACACACACACACACACACAGAAAGGCACGGAATCAAACTAGTCTCTGACAGAGACGAGCAGAGGAACTTCAGCCTACGGAAGTGGAATCTCCTTATTTTCATGACTGCGAGCTACATACAGCTGAACAGCAACAAAGGGGGAGAAATAACAGTCAGCAGTGTGTGATACTTGTTTGGCATGTTTGTTTTCAGCTGTCAATCAAGGACTCATCACACAAACTGACGTGTCTCGACACCAAAAACATGATATTCAATAATGATTCTCCCAACATACGGGGTCACCTACATGTAAATACTGATCAAGGATCCTAATGGTAAGTTGCTCCTATGATTTCAAAAGAAACACAGAAAAAAAAAACATCAATGCTATGATAAGAACCCATAAACAAACTGTTCATAATGTTAATCTGCTGGTGAGACAAATAAAATTGATGAGTAGAATGCATTAGTAAAGGGGGCCAATCTATCCCCTGCACAAGCCTGTGAAACCACACTGCCCCTCATGGTTTTTCCAGGAAATAGCCCCATCTCTTCAGCCACACTCTGTTGAGTTTACACTAAAATCAAGCATACCTTTTGGTGTGATTATTAGCCAAAAGAAAAAAAACCACAACTCACAAAATAAAGCTGTAACATTAGATATCCATGACACAACAACAACACAATTGTTGTACACAGTCACAAAAATCAGTGCTAAGAAAGGGCGACGCTGAATTGATGCATTGAGCCTGGAGTGCAGGTGGATAGAGGGAAGGAGAGACCGGCAGAGGGGCTCAGAGTACTCAGTGTGACTGCTGTATGAGGGATCTGCATTTTGCATAGGCTGGAGCAGCTGCTTTCTGTGCATGAGGTGGTGGTGGTGGGGGGGGGGGGGCAGAGGGGGGTTGCGGGGAGGGTATAAAGTCGCATTTGGAATCAGCGACCTACATCACGCAACACTGCGAAGACTCCAGCGTGTACTGAGGAGCCCACACTGCTTCTTCTCTTCCTTAAATGTCAACAAATCAGCTCAAGCTCCAACAAACCCTCCCATTCAAGTCGAGAAGACACTGATGCCAGGAAATGACACACAGACACGCCGAGCCAAACAGCATGATCAACCCTGTACAGGCAGAATTTAGACAAAAAAACTAAGTCAAATACTGCGAACAGCTCACACACGACGTTTTGAGCCAGTGTTGACTGTAACACTGTCTTAAACATTCAGCCTTGAGGAAAAATTACTCATCATTGCTCATCACCACGTCTCTTGGCTTACTCTACAGGGCACAGCTCCAACACAGTGCGAAATAGGGAGGAAATGAGAGAAAGATGATCTTTATGAATGTTGTCCATCCAAAATAGCTGTAAATCCACTCAATACATCAAAGAACTACAAAAACATATAAGTGTAATTTGATAGAGGATTAAAAGGCAGCCTGCTGAGTGAATCATTTGCTTTCTGTATGTCACTTAATATCTGAAAACAACATTAACAGACCACCACGGCTGAATTCATAATCCACACAATACAGGAGTGAATGATGGAGAGAGGCTGAAAGACCAAACTCCCACACATTTGTTTCTCTTCAACTGTATCAAATCTTTCGATGAATAAAACAAGTTGAACATTAAGTTACGGAAAATATGACCCCCCCAGAGCACAATAACGGCACCATGACATTCTCTGTCTATAATAAAAGTCACAGTAAAGTAGTCAAAGCTGCTGCATACCACAGAGATTAAGTCCCTGAGGAGGTATTACATTACAGTGTTTTGTGTTTACTAGGGGAAGGCTTTCCCCAAAGTCAAGCCCTTCAGCCAAGTTCAAAATCTTTGAGGACACTGGAGTATCAGAGATCTGGAAGACACACACACAGAGAAACGTGTCTCCAAAGGTTCATTTTGCATCACACAATGTGCTTTTCGGGCCAGTAAGAGGACACAGCAGAGACTGTGGTCTTAAAATGAAAAATTTATATCAACATTGTGAGTCTTAACAGATTTAGTCTTCATAGTGTAAGTCCAGGCAACATAAAATCATTCCAGCGTGGATCCCTCAGGATGCAGGACATGCTCCAAAACTGCATGAATTTTAATAACTCTCACTATATCACGTTCCTCATTCTCTACTCTCAAATCTTTTCCCAAAGCCATTTTATTATTTGTATCTCATAGAGCTTCAATTGCTAAGGATTCTGATGATACAAAGTGTTATCATGAAAACCAAGTAGTTTTTTTCCCGACATAGAGCCGAGCCATTGCAGGAATCCTAACTGCAGTCCAGAAGTCTCCACGTTACTCAATGCTAGTCCTACACAACGGGCTTATCCCCGGAGGCACTGCGTAAATCTGACGCGGAGTCCCCTGACATACCTCTCAGTTTTTTAACCTTCAGAGTTTTACACTGCAAGAAGACCGAGCGCTATTTGAGCATGCAGCTCTCTCAGGCTCAGTGGGCATGAATGACACGAGGCGCCAAACGCTGGGAATCCAATGTCTTGAGTGGAGAGCTGATTTATCATTAAACATTTTCTGTAAAAATCCCTCTAGTGTTAGTCAAACGACCCGATGGGCAGGTTCGGACTGAAACCCGCCCGATCACCGGAGTGCGCAGAGGAGGCATGGCGCAGCCAGAACAGGTGCAACACGCCTCCATCACCTGGCTGCTGCAGTGGCAACCTTTTCACCCAAAACCGGTCTATATTGGCACCGAGGCAGCCTAAAAACAGTCCTGACAGTCGGGTCTATACGCCGTGACAAGCCTCTCCTCTTACCTGTAATCTTTGCAGATATCACTTCACAGCCGCAGCCGCATCGACACTGCGGATAAGAGGCACGTCCAGAGCAATCCCCAACTCCGTGTACTCCCCTCCAAAAAATGGGAAACGCTGAGAATAATGTTATATCCTGATCCAACGGCTAGTCCACTTTAAATCCCCGTTAGAGGTGAAGTAAGAAGGCGATTCCTGCACGTGAAGAAGAAATAGCAGCAGACTTCCAGCAGCATCCCCGATCAGCAGGACCCTTCTATACCGCTCTGAGCGCTCTGACACCCGGGAGCTGCACCTCCCATTCCCCGGCGAGGACGCACTTGGTATGCCGCTGGAAAAGCCGCTGCGCCGTATGGGATACCGCAGGAGGCAGTGCTTGTGTGCGTGTGTGTGCTTGTAAATGTGTGTGTGTGTGCGTGTAGAAAAAAAACCGCGTGTGTGTAGAGATGTGACTCAGTGCGGTGCTCCTGCTCAACTGAGGCGCTGAGGGTGCTGCAGCGGAGTGCGAGAAGGAGAGAGGGAACAGGGGAGGGACAGAAAGAGAGGGGCGAGCGCTGTCTTGGAGTTTGCAGCCTCGCGGAGGATCTTGGAGCTCGGGAGGGACTGAGGAGATGGCGCGTTGCCCATTGCAAAAAGACACTGTTTTGGACCACGGTTCTGCAGTAACACATCAGGGCTGGAGGGGGCTGCATATGGGCTACATTTCGAAGTTATGGCACACATCAGAAGCACTGCAAAGCCTTAATAGAGCCCACACGTTTACGATCAAATCCCTCTTCAATACATTTGCAAGTTACAATGGGGAAACGCCATGTGGTGCGCACTGATTTCCAGACTAAGCATCATTTAACAATCAACCACACCACTTTGAAAAAAGACTAAAAAAGTTGATTTTCCGGTTTATTATCCCACCCTTCACTCACCAATGAAACAATATGAACAGAGTTTACGCTTTGCAAAAACATGGGTTTATGCACGGCAAAGCATCAGCCCCGCTGCGCATGGGATTTGGCAATGCCAAAGGGGAAATTTACACAAATACGCAACAATACGGGGGTGAAATGATCAGATCATAGGATTTGAATATCTAATCGCAGGATCGCAGTGGAAAAAAATAGAGATTAGGGAAACACTGCAACATAATTACGACACTTGCATAGATGTAGGGGATTAAAATCTGCATTTTTGTTCTTTGATGATCTTTTAATTTGCTCCAGGAGTTTATCCTCCCCCCATATATTTAAGCAATTAATATTCTAAAAGGCCTAATTATGTAATGATGTCTTTAGAGAAATAAGCGGTGTGGGGGTGCAGGAATAATGGACTTCTTCATAAATAGACTATTAAACCCACTCCTTGTCATCACATGAAGATAACTCCAAACAAATCCATCATCATCTGCTAAGTACTGTGCACAAGATTGAGGTTTCTTTTATTTCCATCTTAAGATAACATCCAAAGCTGATGCTGGCCTGTCATACTGTAGAACTTCTGCAAAAGTCGATCACAAAATATGAAGGGTTTTTTTTGGGAAGAAGTACTTCATGGGAACATGAGCACGCGCCCTCTGACCGTTTATCCTACATATCTGAACCTCGGAGGCAGAACGCGCTCAAGGGGGCGAGGAGGGAGAGGAGGGGTGAGATTGTGAGGAGGGATCCGTGCCTGCCTGCTGCAGCATCCTCTCCCTACCTCCCTCCCTTTCTCTCGCTCTCTCTCCCTCTTTGCGCTCACATTCACTTCCACAGGGGTTCCTCGCTTTGAAACACTGCATCAGAGCCCCACCTACAGGCCACACAAACTTTACAGCCACTAACTCTGACAAATCCACCAAGTGCTTCACTGTCTAACCCTGCAGTGCTGTGTGACATTTTATGACCTCGGCTTGCTGTAACTTTTTCCTTTCTTTCTCGAAGAAAGTTTGTAAACTGACGAAGACACCTGCACCAAATAATATGCTTCAAATTATCAATATTTGTACAACCTTACAGGATAATTTGTCTTCATGGGGGGTTTACTGGCACATTTGTGGCAATAATACGCTAAAACATGTAAAAGTCGACGTTTTAAACATACTTGCAGCTTTAGGAAATTAAAAACAAAAGCGAGAAGATGCTAATGACGCAGTAATTTTACCTTCCGCTAGTTGTTACCAACATACTGATCCCCCGGAAATACTGCTAACAGCCTGCTAACCAAAATGGTAACACTCCAACTTACCTTGGATATTTTCGTCAGTTGTCCGTAAGATGACTTGAATCCAGTAGTTAAATCCATCTCACAACTATTTTAACCGGAAGTTTTTCTTGAAATTATAACAAAAAGTGTTAAAAATCGATAATTCAAAGTCTTGGGTAGAGACACGGCCTAACTGAAGCAGCTCTTAATCACGTGACCTAATCACAAATCACCTGTGCAGATTCGGGTCACTGACTAAAAAAACTCTTCTAAAGTTTGCTGCACTGTATATAGGCTACACACTCTAAATCAATCATTTGCACCATTCACATTTAAATTTTGAAATATAAAACGATTTTTTAATCATGTCTTTCAAGTTGTTCAGAAACTTTTTTCCCATATTGTTTACAATAATATTGGCTATCTATCTTCTTATTTGTGTGAATGGTGTTGTATTTAAGGAGACTTAAGCCTTGTGCATCTTGGTCAACATGCAATACTTGTCATTTCTGGGAGACTCTGCAGCACTGAACTTAAATCTTAAATTAAAGGGTGTAAAATTAATTTAGGGTCAAACACACATTCACACTGAATTAGACACCCCCTCGAGAGATGAATGTTGCTGACCGCTTGCCTCCAAGAAGCAACGATCATAAATGTTCTTCTTTGAGCTGCGTCACCCCGCTGCAGTCTGTAAGGTCTGAGGTCTGAGGTCTCACTACAATCAAGCAGCTGCTGGAAGAGAGGAGGTGAGTTGTGTTTATTCTCTTTGCTAAAGAAATTAGACAACGCTAAAAAGATGTTTGGTGGCTAGTGCTGTGGCTAGGACCCTATATGTACTGTTGATGAAGTTAAGTGCTGTTCTGAGTATTATTTGTGGCTATAGAGTGGCTTTTTGGTTGAGGTTTGTTTATGGCTCCTCAGACCGCTGTGCATTGCTATCCTGCAGTCGCTACTAAAGTTGGTATAACTGAAGAAGCAAGCGGTCGGCAACATTCATCTCTCAATGGGGTGTCTTACTCAATGTTACAGTGTGTTTGACCCTAAATTAATTTTACTCTGGACTATCCCTTTAAGTTCTGTATGTTTAAATGGATTACCTAAAAAGGCACACATCCATGACTCAATTTATAATTCTCATTATACAAAATTAATGGATAAATACTACAACTGAGTGATTTATCAGGTTACCAATATCTTGCAAAAGCAACGCTAGTTTTCTTATGACAACAAAATAATTTTTTATGCAGGCTAGAAAATAAAGTCACCACAACATACTATATTGCCATGCCTGTGCAGATAAAATGGATTGAGCCTATCTGTTTGTTTTGTGCTTTTGCGAGTCATATTTATAACCGATACTGAGTCAGAATTTCAGAAAATCAAGTGAGATTAGCTTGTCTCAGGAGAGTGGAGGAAGATTAAATGTATATGCCTATGTTCTTTTGGCATCTCTAAGTAAGAATTGCTTGATGGGACTGGAGGGGCATTTTGTTTTTCATCTCTAAAAAATGGGATTTCGTGTCATTTTGGTTTAACTCAGCATGAAAGAAATAAAAGGTGTTTAGATCTAAAAGTCCACTGTCACCTCTGTAGAAGGCTGACCCTGAGTAAATCAATTCACACAATAAATCAACAAAAGCTGCGTCCTTTTGGGTGGTCACCATTTACCAAATACTCTTTGACAGGTCATTGATTTCAGTGTGTCAGATCAGTGTCCATTTATTATACTTTGGTCCCAGTGACAGACTCTCAGGGTATCTTTCTGAGTCATTTGAAGGTTGAAAGTGGACAGATATGAACAACCCGTTTGTCTCTATTTAATTATTCAATGCAAGCGTGGTGCTAAATCAACAGTCTGTGGATCTCAATATCAGATAGCTTTCAAAGCGCAGCAAATCAATACTACTGCAATCTACAGTGACAATAGTCATTCCGTGAGAGGTCACGATCACATGACCTTAAGAAATTAATGTGAAGGTCACCGGTCCATGTGGGGATCAAACATGCTTGGGCTAAATGATAACAGGTCTGTGTAATGCTGTTTTATCATCAGAATTCCATATCTGTGTGCTGCACAAGCATAAATTAATGCCAAGGATGCACACAGGTTCATAATGAAAGCTTGAACATGCAAGATTTTTATTGACTGTTCCTTTTGTTTGGTTACAGATCAGATAAGTAGACAATATTCATGTGTGTCGGGTATTGTATTAGAATATATTTAAATGCACATCAATAAGATTGATATAAAAATAAGGGCTGGAAAAACTTGTCAAAGTTGTCTGACAATTTAGCAGTCCAGTTTGCTGTCAAAAAAGTTTGCTCAATTTTTTTTTTCTTCAAGTTCAATTTTAGAACACAAAAAGTTTACTGAAGCTGGTTAATCTCGCCTCAAGATGCTTTTTTTGCACAAAAGCAGATGGAGATGATCAGTTTTTAACAATAAAGGACGTCAAATGTCAAATTATCAGAGCGTTTTTAGGAAGTCTTGTCCATGTTTGCTAGAAAAAAAAGGTCAATAATGTTTTTTTACTTAAAATCAGCATTTGGCAAAACAAACTGACCGAGATTCCCATTAGTAGTTTCCTTCTGAGCTTCCATGAGTATTACAAGGTCTTGAGGCCTCCTCAGTTGTTCTCTTTTTCTTACAGTTTTCCCATTTTACTATCAAACAGTTTGCAGTCTTTGTGATGTTTTGGACATTATTTCACCTCAAAATTAAATCTTAAGATTTACCCAGGTACAAGTTTACCTTCACAACAAGATTTGATAAGAGGTATAGTCAGTTAGAAAAATGGATCCCCTACTAGAGTTGTCACAAGTTTGGCATGATGATACTTGATACCGATATAATACTTACACCTGAAATAAAACTAGCTCTATTGTCTTATATCTAATAGGAGCAGGATGTCTACATGGTTGTTACTACCAAGAGGCCAGTTATTCTTAAATGTCTCTGAGGCAACCCTTTTACATTTTATTTTGTATTAATACAGAATCATTATTTTAACTATTGTCACTATTATGTTTGCAAAATTTAAGTGAAAGTCTGCCTTATTTGTTGCATTATCTGACCCTCCAGAGCCACCATAGAGAAGGTGGCAAGTAATACACAAGTAAGCCAGTAGCCTAATGCTGATTCGCTGTTTAACTCTGAAACACCTCATCACCATCCTGTTAACAGACTACTGTACTTGCTAACATGCTAACCTGTATTTTGGACTCTTCAGAGATTTCTTGGTGTCTGTCACTGAGGTTCTTGACAGGGTTGGTCATGTTTCCTCCCTTGCATGATACTGTTTCGTAGCATCTGTAGCGCATCGGTTTTGGAAAGTGGATGGGTTCACCGTTAGAGTCGGCTCTTTAGGAAAAGTACTCTCACTGGAGACTAGTGCGATTGATTCAGTGAACCAGCACATGGTGTGGAGATGTTCTTTTCCACAAGAAGATGACTCACAATTATTGTCGGTAGTAGATATATGGAGGCAGAGGCATTGAAGTAGAGATTCCTGGTGCATCACTGTGAATGAATGATAGGTGCATCTCCCTGGGCAGTGAAAGTCTGATATGCTTTCCTTGCTGGTACAGCCACTTTGTTGAGATGCAGAAAATAGTATTTCACCCTCTCATTCTGGAATATGCTGCTTTCTCTGTCACTTACCATTATCATAGTCACCAAAAGTAGGGAAATTCAGATGCAGTTCAGTTTAGGGGGAAAAAAAGTACCAAAATTTAGGTACAACTTGCAACACTACTGCTAAGCATTTGTTATCTGAAGGATAGTGTATAATGAGCGGGTAGCTATTCTTATTACATATTGACAAAGTAAGCAAAACCCAGACAAGCAGCAGCATAGACTTGCCCTATGTATTTTGCCACAGTGTTAACAGGCAGAGGTGAAATTTCTGATTGATTAGCTTTTAAATGTGATAAGGTTGTTCTTTGTGCTGTTTACACAGTTGAGAATTAATCACTGTGGTTATTGAGTTTTGAACCATCATTTTGCACAGCTTGCTAATAAACATGTTGCAATATAAACTAGAGTGTTTTATTCACAGTTAAGTAAATGCAGCTCTGTTTGGTGAAAACTTGTGTCTGTGAGGGCAGAGGCGGATGCTGGCCCGCTGCTCGGCTCTTTATTAAAATGCACTGACCAATCTGACTCCCCCATTTGTCTTGCAAATGAGATGATGACTTATGGAGGCAACATGAATAGCTTTGATGAAGCCTCCTTTTTAATGCAGTCAAGTGGGTCGGAGGGAGGTGCACTAGTGTATCTGTGTGTCTGTGTGGATCCTGCTGCCAGCTGGCACGGCGTTATTTCAGCAGCTCTCCTCATCTTGCCGATTTCTGTGTGTGTCATGCATGTGTGTGTGTGCGGCTCTACATAAGCTAGCATTGGCTCCTTATGAATTAACTCAGTGAACCCCTTTAAACACAGCTGTACATGGTTTATCTAAAGCCTGTGGGGAGGCAGGGATCACCCCACTGTGGGTACAGTGTTCCCAGGGGTCTTCTCCTTTCCCCCCTACACACACATAGGGTTTATTTCTATACACACATTCACACTGTATCACCCACATAATAGACATTCATCACACATCTGTCACTGTATATCCCTCAATTCTAGCAAGCTGCTAAATCACAAATACAAAGCGTGTCTATATTCGCTTTATGGTCAATTTACTAGTCATCGCTATCCAGGGGATGATAATATTTATGAGCTGCCAATGGTGACGCTGGATTTAGTGTGTCCATCTTCATAAAAGTGTCTGCCCATTCTCCTCCACTCTCCCAAAGCCTCCTGTTTAAATCACACTGAAACACTGGATTTGTCAGCCTCATCCATGATATCTCATTTTCCTAGAAATCTATTAGCGTGTCGCCAAGCTAATGAAGTTTTATGCGCTGTATGGACGCAGTGAATGACACTCTGATATCCCATTGATTTAGATTGTAAATAGGTTTTCAATTTTCTGTCCGTTTTGTGGGCTAGTGGATAGTAAATTATATTGAAGCTGACATTTTCTGTATCTCTAGTGTGTGTGTTTTGCGTGTGTGGGTGGATGGTTGTGTTGAATATGTCAGTCAGTCATATAATTAGTTAGTTTGCATATTGATGACTTACTGCATTATGTGTAAATGTGTGTTTCACTCTCTATTCCATCATGTCCTGTGTGTGTTAATTCAGCCATGTATCATCTCATACAGCCTCCCCATCAGGAGAGCAGCTGCCTGTCTGTCTGTCCATGTCGCTGTGTGCATATGTGTGTGTGTGTGTGTGAGGGCCAGGTGAGTCAATGTTTTGCCAGCCGTTCCTCCAGAGATCCAAGCTCACGTCCACGGAGATTGAGACCCAGCCACCCCCACTGTGTCGCTCTCTGTCCCCCAAGAATTAAACTCTTCCGTTGGGAAGGGCGCTGCAGATGGTCAGGGGGTGGAATCAGGGGACATTTATTATACATGCAAAGAACCGCAGAGACCAACAATAAAGTGATCAAATAAAATCAAGTCTACAGTTCCTATGTTGTCTCCTTTATAGCAGTTCACTACCCCTTTACACCCAGAGCCACGGTCCAGTGCCAAACCAGGAAATAGAAAGAACAGTGTGTAGGTTTGGGTGGTAGCTGGCTTTCCCTCATAGACCATATCAGCTACAATCACTCCTTTTTCCCCAACCCTTATCCACGCTTTTATTTTAGATCAAAAGCACTTGAATTAGACTTTGAAAATGATATTTATCCCAGGATTTTACTAGTTCATTATAATAACAATGCAGAACAAAAACACTTATTTTCTTGCGTCTTTCTTCCTTTGTCTCTTTCCAAAAAGACTCCAAATGAGGGCCAGCTGATCCCCAACATGCAGGTGTATTCTCCAGCTGCTTGACTGGAAAAAAACTTCCTATTTAATTTCCAGTGAAGAAAACAAACGAAACTCTAAAATTTAACCTGGATTTGACAAAAAAGCCTACTACTCAAAACACTTCTGAGTTGCATGGTGGTGCACAGCATACCAAAATTTCAATACTTTTGCCATACCTCTCCTACTTCTCTGGTTATGTTTACATTCATCAACTAAAAATACACAAAGACGTGTTGTCCTGCTGTTTTGTTGAGCAAATTCAACAGCCTGACAGCAGACAGGTCCCACTGTTTCTCTTTCTGGTAACACTTTACAATAACCATAACTTATAAATGGTAAGCATATAGTTTATTAATGTTTAATCATCATTTATAAATAGCATATAAACCATTAATAAATTGTAACTGCTACAATTTTAAAAACCTAACCCTAACTTTACAATAACCATCTAAGTAATGTTTACAGATGGTTGAAAAACCAAATATTAACCATTTACAAAGTGCTACTGACACACATTTCAATGTAGATGTTTTACGACCAACATTTAAGCCCTATATAAACCTTTAATAGTCCATTAATAATTTAATGAAAATTATTAATCATAGTTTCATTGCTTGTTAATAGTAAATTAACTATTAACTTACATTAATAAACGATCTATTTAACATTTATAAATTATGGTTATTGTAAAGTGTTACCAAGCAACTTCAGGATGCACAGAACAAGCAGCACCAAAGTTACTCCCGCCAACTTGCTGCTGAGAAGCAGGTCTCTGAGCTGAAGAAACAGCTGGACTCAGCTCAGTTTGAGCTTCTTAATGCCCAAAATAAAGTCTCTACTTTTGAGCTAAAGATACAGATGGCCAAGCAGAGACTCCAGCAGAATAATAGCACTGCTCCAAAAGTCCCAACAGCCGAGCAGTGCACTCAGACTGAGGACAGAACTACCTCAGAGTTGATCGAGGAGCTGCAGACAGCACACAAGGATCTACAAAAGTGGACAACAAAACTCCAGTGCAGTGAGGAGCAGGAGGAGGAAGATGAGCAGGAGCAGAGGGAGAAGGTCCAAGTACTGAAGAGTGGAATCTTGAACTTCAGTGTCAAGCTGCAGCAGGAACAAGCTGCCCTGCTGAAGAAAGCTGCAAGGATTGTCACCTGCACCACTGAGGAGAAGAGCACCAGACACGAGAGCCAAGCTGCCCAAAGCAAGGAGTTTGAGAAGATCAATCTTGAACTCCAGACACTCCAGCAGGATCTGCACAAGCAAGCCCTGAGCTTGAAGACGGCTGTGAAACCCAGCAAACCTGAAAATAAATACGTCTGGATCAGAATTCACAAAAACATGCAGCAGCAGACAGACCTGCTGGATGAAGAGGACATCCAGAGGATGAAGGCCTCCTTCGCAGCTCAGCTCCATGACCTGAAGAAGGCAAATGCTGAACTCACAGAGGCCCGTACAAAAGCAGAGGAGCAGCTGCAGCTCCAGCAACAGCAGTGTCAGGAGGAGAGACGCATCCTCCAAGTAACTATTCAGGTCCTCCTCAAAGAACAGAAGAAGAAGATGGAAGAGTGGACGGAGAAGCAGATGTACATGGCTGCCAATATGGAGACGCTCGAGAGTGAGATGGCAGAAATCCTCAAAAAGAAAACCAAGAAGAGAAGCTTGCTGAGCAGACTCTTCCGGCACTCCAGCGCCAATTAAAATAACCTCTGGATGCCTCTAAAAAACCTTTTATGTGCCTGTCACAAATACACCGAAAAAAAAGTTGCAAATAAACAACAACAACAACAAAACATAAATTCTCAAATGTAAGGATTATTGATATGGGTGAGATTTACAGGTGTCATTTCAAAGTTAATATGTCATGTTTGAGGGATGTTTTCTTGCAAAATGTGTTGATTTTTTCACCTTCCCAACTCCATCTTTTAATCTTAAATCATGTTTGACCACCAAAGATTTTAAGAGATTCCCAATTTTAAGAGTCAGGACTCTGGTTTCTGGTGAAAAGTCTGTAAATGTTGAGTGCTGTCTTTATCACATCATTGCACATCACACCCAAAACTGGTAAATCTGTCATCACTTGTTATATGGGGTCTCCAATGTTTTTAAAATCATTGAATATTTTTGGTTTTGTGCATGCGTGCATGTGTGTGTGCCAGGCTTTAATGTGTGACTCAACTGTTTATGAAAACTGTGTTACATCTTTTGGAAAACCACATTGAAAATGTCCAACAAAATATCAATTCAAGCTTGAAGACAAGTTCAAACTCAACTCTACATTCAGCTTTGCATGAATGCGTCCAATGCATTTCTGCTAAATTTGGTAATTTTGGTTATCCAGTGTGCAGTGAGACTCAGCAACAAAATGAAACGAACATCAAAGCTCCAAATATTTAATGTTAAACTAGCTGTGTTTTAAATCCCCTTTTATGTTGTCACAAACAGCCCCAGTATCCTGTTGGTTGTAGCAGCAAGACTGGTCTTCAAACTACTTTGTTGTTCAGTTTTACAGCCAAATAGCATCACAGGCTATTAGCTGATGTGACTTGCCACTTCTACTTTGTTGGCTCTGCATCATTGGAGAAAATTGTCCAATAACAATGTGCACATTCATGGAAACTTTTGAAACATAACAGTGCCAATACAGCAAGGGTAATCAATAAACAGCCATTCAGATATCATCTATTACTGGATGCCTACACTGTAAATTGAACATGTTAAAAATGTCAAAACAGGCACCATGCTGGCCTGACTCCAGTCTACAGGAGCATAAATTGCAGGCAACAGCTCACTGTGTCATATTCTGATGTCTTTTTTCATCTCCAGTAACATTATAATATTTTCTTTTCTCTCTTCCACAGAGCAAGAGAAAATGCTAACAGCTGTGCTAGACTATCACATGTGAGAGGGCATAATAAATTCCCTCATTTAACCTCTTTGTTTTACTCGGGTACTCTAATGGAGCTCCGTTCCTGTGGTTTGTACATCTAATCGACAGTATCTTTCACCAACTTGACCAGAAGCTTTCAGCACAACATCCACTGGCACTGTTCCACTTAACAGACTCCCACTATTCATCTTTCCATCTTTCTTTGGAGCGCATCCAAGACTTATTGTGTGTCAAAGCTTTATTTTGAAGGTCCGTGTCTCCAGCTATTCTTGTCATGTGATACTTATCTGTCCTGATTTTCTTGGCAAACGGAATCAGTATTTCTAAGGATGTTTTTGTGCGTGTAAGGAGTTTATTTTTGGTTCTGTGACCCGCAGTAAAACCATGCTACAAAAAATGGATACAGCCTTCTGCACAAACTGCAGTCTGCACACGCGTGTCACTGAGAATGAGTTTGACATGTGTCTGAATCTATCATGTTGGATATTCAGAGACAGGAAAGTTTCTTGAGGACATAACAGGAGAAGTGAGCGCAGAGAAAGATACACAAAAGTTTGCTGCTTGAAAAAAAGCTTTTTTTTACGATCTCCATGGCATTTGCTCTCGATTATGCCCATACATGATGATGCATGATAGCTACGGTAATAAGACAGAGAGGCAGGAACAGGAGCTGAAAACATCAAATTACCCACGAATGTTATTTTCGCTGTTAATTGATTGAACACGGAGGGAACACATTTACATTTTAAATTGATCATTGTCTTCCAAGTCTGAAGGAAGAGCTGCAAATAGGGCCATTATGCATGCATGAATACATGTCATAAACACTGTGCCGTTGCACTTTGCAAGAAAGTGCTGTATGTGCTCCCATAAGCAGTGAGTGACAGACTATATCATATTCATTTTGCATGGAGGTTTTGCTACACTTTGGTAAACAGACAAGAACTGAGAATGTTCTGGCATGAGGACAAAAGACTTCACTGCCGCTATATTTGACAGTGTTTTGCACCAAAGCTGTGAATACATGACTGAGGACAAAACACAACATCATGTTGCTATAATCTGTCAGTGCAGAAAAACAAGACACAACACAAACATACACAGACAAAAAAGAAGTTTGATTTACAAAAGCTGTGTGTGAGTGGATAGCAAAATGTACAAAACAATACATTCAGGCCTGTTTGCAAACAAACATGCAGGGGAGCATCATATTGGGAGATTTTTATCGATGCCCGAGATGCAGGGTTTGTTGTTTGCTCGTACAATCACAGTGTCTGAAGGAGTATCTTGTAATCTCTTTATTAAAGTATTTGTACTGAAATCAAACCACTTTTTTATCCCTTACAGTGATGCTCCACAATAAAAGAAGCAATTCCAAGAACATAAATCTACAAAAGTATTCTTTCTAAGCCTCAATTCATACTAAGGTCAGAGGCGGTATTCATTCAGTCATTCCACAATGACACCACAGTAAGTCTTTGATGAAAAGATTAAAAGCAAGAGAGTATGTTGCAACATAAAAGCCCTGAATTACAAAGCTACGCCTTTTAAAGTCCACCAACTCAAGAGTGGAATTTTTTGAAGCAATTTGACTCACAGGCAGAGGAGATTTGCAGCAGCAAAAGGTGAAACTGAGGTTTCTCTGCACAGTTGTGTCACAAAAAAAGGGTTAGAAAATAGCTTCATTTTAGCTCCCATTTCAGAAGGAATTATGTAAACTAGTCTGCGATACCTGCCAGATCCATCCAAAACCACACAGCACACCATTCATGGGCATCTGATGATACTGGCACTGCATTCAGCGAAAATACAGGTGCATAATTACTACACCTACACAGACAGAAACATGCAGACAAACACATGGACACATATATACACATCCTGGAAATGTCATCAGTTTTAGAGACGCAGTCACACATGCAGGATCTACACAGCAGTGTAGGGCTGTAGAGGAGGGTAAATACAACTGAAGATTAGTACACCACCTTTCGTATGAAGAAATAACATGACTGCAACATTTCATACGCCTTTACTCACTGGTCTAGAATAAATCTGTACACACAAAATTTACCAGAGTCAAGTCCATGTAGGAAAAAAATATGCTGGTGGTCCATTGTGGTGAGTACCAAAAGCTGTTTGATGGGAGTATTTTGTTGCTGTTGTTGGGTCTGTGTATGATGAGGTTGTTGGCTCTTGAGTTAGTGTTGCTGGCTGCATTTTGTTGCATGTTTACGGTTGGTGCCAAAATTCTCAGAGCAGGACCCTCTGACACCCCCTATGGTCTACCCAGAGCAACAGTTGTGAAATTGATGTATTTTAGAGATAAAATAACATCTTTTATCTCATTTTATCTCTAATTAACATTGATAACACTTTACAATAACCGTAACTTATGAATGGTAAATAGACCATTTTAAAATGGTAAGCAGATAGTTTATTCATGTTTAATCGTCATTTATAGATAGCATATAAACCATTAATAAATTGTAAATTTTACAATTTTAAAAACCTAACCCTAACTTTACAATAACAATCTAAGTAATGTTTATAGGTGGTTTATAAACCACTTATTAATCATTTACTAATTTTTACAAACATCAGTTGCAACTTTACAATGACCATCTAAGTAATGTTTATAGATGGTTTAAAAACCAAATATTAACCATTTACAAAGTTCTACTGACACATATTTTAATCTAGATGTTTTACAACCAATATCTAAACCCTATATAAACCTTTAATGAATAGTCCATTAATAATCATAGTTGCATTGCTTGTTAATAGTAAAGTAACTATTAACTTACATTAATAATTAATTAATTAATTAAGTGTTACTACAATTTGAAATCCAAGTGAACATCCATGTCTACACTATGTTTTAACTGTATTTAGTGCAAGCAGCTGATTTCTATTGTGTCATCTCTACCTGTGAGCAACAGGCAGATATGCAAGTACTGAGAAAATAGTAGAGACAGTGATTGAAATGTTGCACCATGTGTTAAAGTAATCCTGTTTTTTTTTTCTGTTTATTAAGTAAAAATGAAGGAATTTAAAAAATCTTTGGTTTTATTTTCTGCACCCAGCTTTATGACAGTGTGGTTTACTAAACAACTTCGCAGAAATGCTTTTATGATGGATGCTATGCAATGCTCCACAATGTGATGCAATACAAAGTCTAATGCTCTCTCAGGGTTCGCAGCATGATTAAAAAACAAAAATTAAACAACTCTCAAAGACTGACAGTTCCTTTAATTCAAAAGCAAACACTCTCAAGAACTCAGTCTAAATTATTCATGCTGCCTGATACTATAAGAGCTGTAATTTTCATAAACACAGCACGATCACTTCTGTAGTTTACATAAAATGCTGATCTTTCAAGTAATTAAGATCCAAATTATTTAATCGTTTTGTACAAATTGTTGTTTGGATTGAAACCTGCGAAAGTAAATAGTTTTAGTTAAAAAGCCACTCAAAATTTAGCTTTAAACCCACAGTGTGAGGAAATATTTCTGGGAATTAACATAATTCTTACATCGAACATATGTTTGAAATGTTAAATGGTAATAGAGTAAATGTGGGAAACTGCATTACAATATCACTTGCACCTACAGTATACTGTGGTGATGTTATGTAAGGCTGAAAGCAGGATATCAACATGTAATAGGCAATTCCATATTACATGACAGTGCTGTTTCCAGCAAAACCAAATAAAAATAATACTGATTAATGGAATCCATCATATGAATGTGTATAACTGAGACTGTGCTTTATGTTGGGTGTATATATATAGAAACAGATTGGTCCGTCTTTC